GTAGTCCTGTGGCAGATTAAAGCACGAGATTTTAAAATGTCAGGTTTCCTCCTTTACACTTCATGAAAATAATTTATCTTTGCACATATTTCATCCAAAGATGTTATAGACATTTGAAATACCAAGCACGCACTCTAGAAGAGGACATACACACGCTGAGGAAGGGAGCCGCGACAAGGGCTCCGACCAGGACGCTCTCTGCCTGTCCCTCACGGCAGCCCAGCCCCACACCCACGGGCTCCCCAGGAGAGGGGCGAAGCACCGGGCACCCCGAATGCCCTGCCCACAGCCCGAGGGGCTGTCCCCACGGACACGCTGCGCCACATCACCTCACCGCCAGCAGGATCACGTAAGGTTCCCCACCCTGAACTCCTGCATTGCACTCCAGCCACATGGTACCGAAGAGGCCGCTCGTAAACACCAACTCCTACAAACAACGGTCACCACGATGACTTCTTATGAGAATTTTACGTGAGCTAAATTCATCCTGTATACAGGTAATACTAATTACCAAGTAGAATAAATGCCACAATGAAAACGGTACACTTATGATACAAATTACTGTAAGTAAATGGACACGCTGGTTGAGTTAAGTGTCTGTGACAGCATTTTTAGAAGAGCTGGTATAAAAGTCTCATTGAAGAGGACTACCAATGCAAGTTTACAGGCCAGTAACAGTTGCCTACTAACAAACTTAGAACTATTTCAGTTTAAAATTGTAAATATTAAGTAAAGCATGGAAATTTTTGTACTTCAGAATAACAGACTAGTAAACCCATGCAGATTTTATGCAAATTGTCTACTTATGTTGCTGAGTAAATACGTTTCTACAGTACCATTAAAAAATATTTTACATTTCCCTAAATGATAATTATTTGTTTCTGTAGCACTCACACTATTACCAAAGCACACTACTCATTGCATATTTCTTTTTAGATTGAAATAGAGCAGAGACTTCAATGTATTTTTTTCCCCGGTACAATTAAAAGCTATCAGAAAGTTTCACTTGTATTAATATAAACACATACACCAGCTGGTAAGTCTCATAAGCTTGATTCTACTCAAAGGTCGATGTGACTGTAAGAGATGCTACTTTCTCCCTGTGAGTATGTTTACAAATGGCAGTGCCTTGAAAATGCCTGGGAAGTGTTCCTACACTTCTGGAATAAGAGCACTTAGCGCTGGGCTCAATGGCAACACAAGTTAACTCTCCAAAGCAGAAGGACTTTTGTGCCAGGTGCACATTTTTTATATGATCTCCTGTATATAAGGTAGGAATACATGACTTATAATATAGTAGGGGAGGAAAGGGAGAGAAGGATGTTAAGTAGGGGCAATCCCTCCTGCCCCCCACTATTAAACTGGCAGCCTGTGAATCCAGCCACCTCCTTCCCCCTCTGGAAAACCCACATGCAGTTTAACAGCTGAGAATTTGTAGAATGCCTCCACTGGCTTCCACACAGTAAAGTCAGCTTACAGAAACAACTGCGGTTTTGAGAGAAAGGAGGGAGAAAGCTACAATACTAGCATCATGTCTAGCAAAAACCAAAATAACACTCCACAATATTCTAGACACAAAAATCTCATCCACTTTAATAATCACAAGGCAGAATCTACCCATTGACCCTGAAAAGTGTAAAAATAAGCGTTAGCTCTTGGCATTTACACATTCACAGTCAAGGAATCTACAAGTTGGCAGCAGCACGTGGGTGGGAAATGCAACTAAACAGCATCTCTTTGCACAGTTAAGAACAGATGAATCCTGTTCTAGCACAATGTATTACACTGTTACTGTTCATCTAAATCCCTCACTTCTCTCCTGTCCAAGGTACTTGACCATCAAATTAGTCCTGAATTGTGCTCAGTTACCATGGAATCATAGAACGGCCTAGGCTGGAAGGGACCTTAGAGATCATTTAATCCAACCTCCCTGTCATGGGCAGGGACGTTATGATCCATTCATGTTCTTGGGAGGAAGACAGAAGGTAGAATCA